AGCCCCCGGGCTCCACCTGCCAAACTGGGGGCTTGGAGAGAGGTTGGCAAGGTGGTGGAGATTATTTAGGGGACTAAGTAAACGTAGGTTTGCTTCGACAGCGACGGCGGTTTAAAATAACTTGCAGCCACACACCCCCCCCAGCAGATACGTGACTCCCCAGAGCAAATACCTGCACCCCAGCACCTCCAGAGGGAAACGTGGCAACTGCCTGTAGCTAAAGCATGGGATTTGTGTCCTGCAATTCCACTTTTTGCCCTGAAATCCCTCCTTTTGCCCCCCCAGGAGCTGTTGAATGGGGTGGGGGGGGCGGTGCCCTGGGGCACCACACAGCCCCGCTTCAGCTGAAGCCACAGCCACTCAAACCCCTACAAACCTCGGGCTGTTTTCAGATGGAGATTGGGTTTTCTGCCCCCCCAAGGTGCTGCACGACAGGAGTTTGCAGCCTGGCTGGAAACGGGGCTGGGGAAGGTGGCACAAGCCAGTCCCCCCCCAGCTAGGACATTCATCCAGAAGCTCCTTTTGGGCCGGGGTCCAATGTCAAGGTCCCAGTCCCAGCGATGTCAGGAAAGAGGCAACGCCACCCACTCCCACACAAACAGACCTTTTCCTTTAGTTTTTCTGCCCAAACACTAACCAGATCCAGCCCTGCCTCTGCCACCCGATTTAGGAACTTTTATCCTGCCAGTAACCCAGTCCCCAAGCCAGCTCAACGGGGCTCCGTTTTGTAAAACTAAGGTGAAAAATGTCTCACCTCTTCCTGCTCCGTCCTGGCCATCCACTCCCATCCTGGCTCATCCCCATCAGCAGGCTCCAAGCTTTCAGAGTTGCCCAAAATCCTGCTCTGAGCCATGAGACGGGACCCAGCATAGCACCCACCATCCTCCCCACAGCCTCAAGATGCTTCTTTTAGGAATCTCCCCCCAAGCCCAGGGGAACTGTGGCCAGGGACCGGACCGGCAGGAGCAGGGGCAGGGCTCCTCTCCCCATTAGGCAATGGGCAGCAGCTGGGGGGCAGCTCCCAGCTCCCCCCAGTTAACGGCAGGCACCTGCTGCCCTGGGGGTTGCAGAGGCGTCTGGGTCACATCTACATTTGGCCAAAATTAATAAAGTTTAGAGAAAGGCGAGGTGAGTGGAATAAGCCAGAGCTGTTTGTGTTTCCAAGCACCGGTGCAATTGCTGTCAGCAGAGATGGGTTTGTGCCAGCCAAGAGGCAGGACATGGCCTCTCAGGTGTAGAATGAAACCAATTAAACAAACACAGAATAGATTTTGGGGACCTTTTGTCATCAGGCTGAAAGAGAGAGACATGAGCAGAGCACCAGAGCAAGGACTCACGTCCCCCTGCGACAGCCCGGGGCATTAGCAGAATATAAACCACGTTAACTCCGAGTGCCTGGGTAGCACGAGCTTTTTACTTATTTCTGAAAGATTTTGAATCCCCCTTTCCTTCAGAGCTCGCTCACTGATCCCGCAGCACAGCACGGCTTTGCTCCAGAAGCCTGGTTCCCTCTTGACAGCACAGGTGTAGGACATACACCAGCTGCACCTGGGCAGCGTGGGGAGGACCGCAGCGTCCCCAGGCTCTCCTGGACTTAGATAAAAAGAACAATATTCCTTTCTTGAGTATTTTCTCTCCTGCTGGTGCACTGGTAGTTCCACTTATCCATCCTTCTTGTTTTGGAAGGAGCTGTGTCAAATGAAAGACATGGAAGAAGGAAACAGCCCCTGTGCGGAGCCCGCGGCTGCGGTCACAGCGTCACCTCCTCCGGGTACCCACCGGCCTCGCAGTGCGGGTAACTGATGTCCCGTTAGGCAATAAATGTTTTCCTCAAATTCCATGCACTGTGTTGCGGAGATGCTGAAAGCAGGCGTTCTGAAGGGGTGAGAAACAGGGATTGCAAAAAGAAATTGAACACCCAGTTCACCCTGTGTGTCACTGAGCTGGGACAAGCCGACCTCAGGCACTGAGGGACGCAAGAGGAGGTGACACAGGGAAGGTTTCTCAGCTCTGACTCAACTCAGCTTCACACCCAGCTTGGGAAAGAGCTCCAGCCGCAGAGCAGTTCTGCAGTGAAGCAGTGGTGGGGGCTGACCAGAAGAGGGCAATCATTAACTGTTTCAAAATGCGTGTTCCCAGCGTTTGAGGAGTTCCTGGAATATACAGAAGGCTGGAAACTTCTCTTCAACTGTAGTCCAAGAGGAAGAGGGTGCTTAGCTAGAAGCAGCCAGCCCATTCTCTTGAGAGCAGCCCGACTGCCAGCAGCAGCCCAGCTGGGGCAGATGTTCCAGCCCAAACCCTTTGGACTGGGTGAGAGCTTCCCAGTAACGTTCATCCACAGCAAGGGCTGCTGCAGAATACACCGCTGAGAAATCACCCTCCTGCCAGAGGGAGGGGCTGCTAACCCACCCCCCGGCTGGATTTTTACTTCCCCAGAGAAACAGGTCGTGTTTCCTCATTCCCCAATGGGCTCAGCACCCGGGAGGTGAGAAGGCTCAAGTGCCATCGTTCACGTTGTTCCCCATGTCCCCCCCCGAGTACACCCCTGCACTCCTTGGGCACCTCACGCATCCCTCATCCCACCCCGCCCCAAGGGAGGAAAGCGCTGTCGCGGGGTGTTTGTGAGAGTGGGGGGAGATCAGACGGCTTTTGCTGCGAGGCTGGAGAGTAATTCTGTCTCAGCTCTAACCTAGTAATTAAGCGCTGAAAATATCTCTCTTCCTTAAAAAGGAGAAAAAGGAGAAAAGCTGGAGGGAGCACAGTGAAGATGAGCGCTGCTCCTCCCTCTGCGGCACCCGCGTGCCCTGTCCCTGGGCAGCAGCTCTCACCAGGCAGTGTTTCAGTGTCCAGCCTCTGGCCCTGTTCCTGTAGCAAAAAGTTAATTTTACGAAGAGAAGTGCAGCTGATTCCCTGCTTGTCTGAGGGCACAGGTACCCGGCCAGCCCTTGCTTCAGACACATCTTCATCAGCTTGCGACACGAAGCATAACCCCCACCTCGAGGAGCAAGACAGCTGAGGGGGAGGAGAGGGGATGCTGCCAGCAGCCTTGAGCTCGGTCCAAGAGCTGATAAGTGTCTCAGCTGACCGAAGCTGACACCACTGGAAAGCAGAGGCTCAGATTACAAGGACCCAGACTTTATGAGCAGATTTATGGCTGAATAAAAGCCTTGAATTACAGTCAGAGATATAAGGAAACAACAAACCCAGGCTGGCCTCCGCAGCAAGTTTCTTTAACCAGATCAGAGGCCACTTGCAGCACCAGCTATGGCTCCTGAATGACAAAGCCTTCCTTTTGAAAACCCTCTAAGCCAGGTTCCTTCGAGGGCAGTTTCCAGCTTTTCTAGGAAACTCTGAACGGAGAGTTATGGGTACTGCAGAGCTGAGCAAAGCCCAGCAGCACTCAGAGACAGGTTCACAGCACCTGAGCATCCCTGAGCCCTCACTACCATCGTTAGCCTTCATCTCAGGTTTGCTGGCCTAGCCTTTCAGAATTATTCTGTTCTCCCAGGTCCTTGTAGGGACAATCATCCCCAGTGTCAGTGTCCTTGGTGAGAATCATCCCAGGAAGAGTCTGGCCACAAACAGCACCACTAAACCGTATCGAGAGAAGAGATGCAGACACGTGGTAACTCTTTGACAGACCTTTATTAGCAGACTGTTCCCTACATGAAGAATCCGAGTTAGATTTGCATTATAACAATTTGTGGTTACAGCTACAAAGATGGTTGTCATTTTGCATTGATTTTTGCATTCTAATATTCATGTTCCCATTAGGCCACACTGGTAGGAAGGAGCCACTGCAGAATTGATGACAAATTTCAAGAAGGGGGGTGGAAAAAAACTCATATCACAAATCCAGGTTGGTTAGATTTCCATGTGGGTAACTACTAACAGCACAGGGCAGTCAAGGCAGAGCCTCACCCGGAAAACTCTCCACGAACCACCAAGATCTGTCAGCAAAAAGCATCTGCTGAGTGCTAGCAAATCCTTTTCAGATTTCTCACGCGCTTCTCCCCAGTGCCCGTCTGCATGTGAAGAGCACCAGCCCAGCAGCAGCGTCTGCTGGTTCAGCCTCAAAGCACAACTGCAGCTGCTTGTGTCCAAGTGCAAGCTTCCCTCTCTCTGGAAACTTGTAATTCCTTTAGTCCCTGAGATTTCTCTCCTCCCCCTTACCCAAACCTTCCCCAAGATCGCTCTCAATGAGCCGTTGTGACCCTCAACGTACACAGACCTTCTACTTCCAACTCCAGCCACCCACCTGAAACCCTTCAGCCGTGCACAGATGCAATTCCAGAGTAAGGCGAGACTCCCGGTGCACCTCTCCCCTCCTCCCGCGGTACTGCTTCCTCACCAGCTCCCTTCTCTCCTATGGCTTCTTGCTACAGAATTTCTCTGGGCTGAGGTCCTCCAGCAACAACCCCAGATGTGGGAAAGGCAGCTCAAGCCCCAAAGGGAAGGTACGCGAGCCATTTTAGCATCGTCCCCCCCCTCCCCGCAACTCAGCTGTGCAATGTAAGAGAACAAACAGAACTTTTTAGAACAGGAGAAATAACAAGCACAGTAACAATATTTAAACAAGTCTATAAAAATAGTCTGACATAACTCTGTTCAAATAAATACAAAATAAATACGCTTTAAGCAGTAAAACAGTGGAATGCAACGCTGGTCCATTTTGCCCAAAATGAAAAGTTGGATGAGGATCTCTGAGGCCTCAAAAGCCAGATCCTGCCAACTAAAGTAGCCCATAACACAGAGAAATTTTAAAGCCATCTCTATATGAAAAGCACCCTTTGAAAGAAAAGCAAGCATGTCTTCAGGGCTGAAAGCTTACCCCTCCCGGTGACAACCAGCCCCTCTCCATAACAGCCCTTCCCACAGCAGACATACTCCCGGCTTGGGGACTCCATCCCACTAATGCAAACCTGAACAGCGATCTACAAAGAGGTCTAAAGAGATAGATAGCAGCGTAGGCACGGGGGTTGGAAAAGGTCCACCAGTTACCCTCGGCACCAGGCAGAATGGAATTCAGAGGTCCATGCAACACTGCGCAGGGGCTCTCGTGTCGTGCTGGGAGCACAACTGCCCAGGAGCTGTGAAATATTGTCTTTTGTTCACTAAAGCCATGCATCGAGGTGCCAGCCCATCCAGGGCTCTCCTGCCTTCCCCTTCCAAGCCCCTGCTGGGTGTAAGCCAAGCCAATCCTGCCATGCAAAGGATACAGGCATGCAGGCTCCAGGCTGCTGCTTCTGTTAGTAAGTGCATCTTGTTAGTGGATTTATGAGACACACTTAAACCTATAAAAAAATAAATAATCCTAATTCTTCATCAGGCTGGCCTAAGTAACCTTCAGCCTGACTGGATAAACCACCGCTCATCAGCCCTCCAAACCAGTATAGTTCAAAGTTACATTTCACGTCAAGTCTTGGAAGCAGAACATGAACATCTCCTACCCAAAGGAATATATGTAAACATAAATAACAACCTGGTGTGGCAGCAGCTCCTACACAAGGTTTGTACAAATTTAAACAACGGGTAGGAACTTAAACAACTGAATGGAAAAAGAAGCTCTCTGAATGGAAAAAGCTAATTCAGCAAGTCAGAAGGTGCTCATCTGCAGGCCAACAGCTCTGTACACCCAGCACGCTGAAAGCAGACCTGTTACCCAAATCTTTGCTACTCTGCCATACTGCTGGGAACTGGCCTCAGCAACTCAGGCCTTAAGATTCTCCCAGGAGTTCACCTCCTGGTCTTCCAAAAGGCCCAACAAGAAGGACCACGTGATGGTCTATGTGGAGCTCTGAGTAGCAAGATGGCAAAGGACACCAGATCCTCCCCTCCCCTTACTGACTCACAAACTATCTGAGATTTCACAGCTTTGCTTAGTCAGCTTAGTGTCAACACATTCACAGAATGAGAGATGGCGATACATCTTGGGAGGGCACCCCCAAGATTCCAGAGTTCAAAGTCCTCGGCATCTCCTGGTCACCGTGACTGCACGCCCAGAGTCATCTTCAAGTTTTCATAAACCACGTAGCTGATGCTTACGGCTGGAATCACCTTCATGAAGTTGGGCGCCAGACCCCGGTAAAGACCAATTGCTCCCTCTGTCTTCAGGATGTGTTTGAACAGTCCCCTCATCGTCACTTCGGGAGCACCCTCCACTGAAGCTGCAATAGGGAAAGTCACAATAAATAACGCAGCCTAAGTGGCGAAAACTCTTCAAAGTAACACCAGTCTCAAAGAGCAGTTCTGATTCACCTGCTTCCTGTGGATGTTCACAGAGCAAAGGTGCTTCATGGGGACAAATTCCCAGCAAGCCATAGCCGAGCTGCACAGTGCAGCCATTTTCTCTGCTCTGCAGACACCCTGAGCCCAGAACTCCTGATGTGAGCAAACCAGAGCCTCTGTCCTGGAGGCGTGCAGCCCCAGCTGCTAAGGGCAGCACAAAGTCCACTTGCAGCATGGCAAACAGCTCAGCTGCACAGGGCAGTTAAGGCTGCTGTCGCAACGGTTACACCAGAGGACCTTTACCCTGCTCAGAGTCCAGGACAGGAGTTCCCACAGTTCCCAGAAGCTCTCACCTTGGGCCTGCATACGTGTCCTCACGAGAGCCAGGGGGTAACTGGCAAGCTGTCCACAGGTACTGGAGATGGTGCCACAAGCCAGCAGAACAAAGACTCCAGGGTCAGCGCTGTTGACAGCATAGCGTTGCAGCCAGGCATTTTTTAGTGTCTGGAAGGAACAAGCCAGACGTTAGCAGTGAAGAGGCAATCAAAAGAATATCACATTACATAAAAGATGTAACGTGAAGGCCCAGAAAGCTATGTGCAATTTCAGCCAGAAGCACCAGGTTTCTCACATCTTATTGAGCCGCTACTACTACTGCACTGCCTGAAGAAAAACCCTTCTTTAATTTTCTGCTGCAACTGTCTCATAAAAAAAGAAACAAGGGACCGTGCATGATGTTGATAAGGAAAGGAGAATCACTACTGGATTATCTTTTAGGCCACTTTGGCTATAATTCCATCCATAGCCCTTAAGGTTGACCAGGAAAGCTTTGAAAAGTTACTTAAACTCCTGTAGTAACTGACAGGTCTGGCAGTGACAAAGCTACACAAGCAGCACGGCTCTGCAAAAGGTGAAAGGCTTCATACCTCATAGACTGCCAGGTCGATACCAGCATACGGAATGATCCCTAGCATGTTGGGGATGTAGCCTTTGTAGAACGCAGCCATTCCTTCCTTCGAAAGGATGTTCTTGGCACAATCCAACATGCCTGAATATTGTCCTGTCTTCCTTAGAGCCATCCGTGTTTTCAGAACCTAGAAGACAAGAATAAATACCATGAAGGCCTACAGGAGAAACAACAGGAGAAAAACATATAGATCATGTGATTCTTAAGAGCATGATGGTCAGGACTACAGCAAGTGTATCATCTCTGAAAACTCACTAATTAAGCTACAATAGCACTGGTGTTCTACCCCCAGTTCCCCCATCTCAGCACCTTGTCGTGATCCCCCATGGGCTGACGGTCAGCCCCGCTCCTCACCTCCATGGGGTAGATGCTGCTCTGCGCAATGGCCCCAGCCAGAGAACCAGCCAGCAGCCGCTCGTGAATCCTCAGCATTTCTTGGTCAGTACCAATGAACCTCTTTATCTGCAGAAGCCAAAACAGACAGATATTGAGGCTTGCTGACTTATCTCAGCTGTCTTTTTTTTTTTCCAGCTTGTCCTTCTGCAAACCCTTCTGCAGCCAGACTTGTCTGTGCCCTTTTACTCACCTGCTCATAGGCCATGAACTTAATGGCCGATTCTGGCGCAATTTTCAACACATTGATGCCATTCCCTCGCCACAGTGACCTTGGTCCACCCTCTCGGATCATTTGAGTAAAACCGCCAACGATGCACATGTTGTTACTGCGGGAGGCATGAACCTGGGAGAGAACGAGCGAGCTTGGATTAGTTCCAGTCCTGATTACGACAGTGCTACGTTTTTCTGTAATCCAGGGACAAAAGGGCGCTTTTTTTATTTACCCAGAGATTTGCCAAGGTTTTAATCCCTTCCAGATAACTTCTACAATAAAGCAAGCTTCTTTTAATTTTTGCGAAGTCTGGTGTTAACTAATGAATCTCATCAATATCTCCCTCTGGAATGGGAGGAAAGGTTAAACAGGCGACTCTCACCCCTAGCACAGGATCAGCTACCCGGGATAAACCTCTCTGCTGGCTCAAGAGCAGGTGCAGTGACAAAGCAGGCCAAAGTTTTTCTAACTCCTTTCTAATGCCGAAAATACTTGTACTGAGTACCAGCTCTGCCAGCTGACCACCACAACCGCTTCAACTCTCATGGCCTTGCTGTCTCACAGGAACACAAGACTCAAACCTGTTTCACCAAAAACCAAGTTTTCCAGTGCTCTAAAGCACAAAGCTCTCTAGCTGTTGACAGTTTTCAAATGTCTACCTCCCAAAAGATTCTCTATGTTTTTCCTAGTCAACGAAGAGGAACTTTTTAACGTGACTTTGATCATTTGAATAATCCAAAAAGCTTTCAAAAATAGCAACAAAAGAGCAATGAGATTAACCCTGGCCAGAGCGCTGTACTGTGTTGATGAACACCATCATCTCCTAGGCATTCAAGAATATTACAGGAATCTGCCCAGGCATTCAAACAAACTGGAACTGCTCCATCATACCTGCATGAGCACTTTCAAGCGGTCCAAAGGAGCTGTACAGGTTCTGGACACGGCACCTGCACCTCCACCTGCAACCAGATGTCTCCACCACATCCCTGTCTGCCTCTCTTCCACTGTGAACTCATCAGGGACAGTCAAATTCTCTCCGACATCAAAGATCTGCAAAAGTATAAGGTATTGAGAACTGTTTCATTAGCTAGTGATCTTGTCACAGTTTTATTGCTGTTTCTCAGGGCTAAGTGCTGAAGTACTGGCTATGCTTATTCCAAGTCAGCAGCTTCTCTACAGCCATTAAATGCTGTGTCTGAGCACAGGAGCTCCTACAGCACATCACAAGGGGAACCTTCCCATTCAGAGATTTCTGTCTGAGAACCTGGCAACAGATGAACATTTGTCTCCATTAAAATACTGTGGATCACAGTAAGGAACAAAATTACCAACTGCAGGCAGTTCCATGACAAAAAAGCTTGACCTCTCTGGAACCTTCCAAGCTCACAGCCAGTTTAATCTCGTTACATGCTATTTACACACCTGGAAATATCTCCAGGAAGGACGGCTGCCTGTCAAATCAGCTTCTAGTCTTAACAGGTCCTGAACCAGCACGGACTGGCCACTGGTACGAGTTCTCAGAGGTGCAAGCCAAGTGAACACCCTCATCTTCTTGCAGAATGTGCAGTTGTTATCACCTGTGCCAGAGGCTTCAGAAGCCATGCCAGTGATGGGTGGCAAGATAACAGGACAGGACAGGAAACGACTGGGCTTCTAGGGCTACAAGGCAGCTACTGAACCATGAAGAGAAAGATAGGGACTGCCGATAGCAGCTCCTGGGGGTCAGGACTCTGACTGAGAAGCTGGGGAAAGACCAAGACCAGCTGCGGAGGAACCATTTCTTACCGTGGAGTGCTTCCAGTACAGGATGATTTCAGGAATGTTCTCCACTGGGTGCAGCAGGTGATAGTCTCGCCACTCATTCCAATCAATTGTCATTGTCCCATTTTTATCCATGCTAAAAAGATTTATCATGAGATGAGTACAGACTCCCACAGGGTGACAAACTCCTCTTCCCTTTCCCTTTGATTATGCAGGCCTACACCAGAAAAAGCTTTGCAAAGCAACTACTAAAAGACTTCTAAAGAGACACAAGACAAAGATAGGAAATCTTCTATTCACTAAACACTGCAAAGAGGTAGAAGTGGGCTCCTTTCTTCCTCCCCTCTCTCCCCCTTAAGTGACCCACAGGAGTCGTTGCACCCCCTGCTATCAAACTGAGGGACATAGCTGACACTGAAGGGAAAATAATACTTACTAGGTGACAGGACCCCAGAAGTGTCCCGTCCTTATTCTGACACACAGGCAAACAGACAGAGGGAAGGTAGCAGAGGAAAGAAAGAGGAAAAAACAGCACAAATAAGTGGTTGTAAACATGTTAGTGCCACATGCATAAAGCACTGAGCATTTACAAAGAGCAACTGCACAGTCCCTCTCCAAAGCAGCAAGCTCAGGGCAGCAGGACAATCAGACAGGGATGCAAATCAGCTCAGGTGCAAGCACTTCCCCACAACTGGTCAGGAAATAAGAGATTCTGACAGTAACTCTCCATAATGTGTTATGACTTTTTAAGTGTCAATTCATAGGGAAAAAAATCAAATGAAGAGTAATAGGCAAAAAGGGAGGAGTTGAAGTCTCTGGAAAGTGTGTACAGGGTAGAAAGAGGAGACGGGCTCCATGTCCCTACGCTTCCTTCTAAGCTCCTCAACAGTAAAACAGAAGAACCAGCGAATCTTCACCTCTTCAGTATTTTCTCGGCCTGCTGTTCGGAGATCTTGACTCCCAGGTCGCGAAGAGACTGTACAATCTCCTGGGCATCAATGCGGCCTGCAAAGATAAGCCAGTGAGCTCGAGTATATGCATTACAAGCTAACACATGCAGCAGTTTACTCATGAGCATGAGAAAGGTGTTTACCATCATTCTTCTTATCCAAACTCTTGAACACCAGCCTCAGCTTCTTTTCATGATCTTGGAGATAGTGAACAAATTCCTCAAAATCCAGCTGTCCATCCAGGTCCTTGTCTCCAGCCTTCACAATTTTCTGTTCAGAAAACAACCAAAACCTGTCAGTTCCTTTGTTCATTCAGACAGATCTGCCCCTTCTTCCACCACATTTAAAAATCACTTGCTACACAACTGACTTTTCCTCCAGAAAGCAGCTGACAGATATGATTCCTCAAAGAAATTTGAGCAAAGCAGTAGCGTACAGAAGTCACCTGATTGCAGGCAACTGTCTCCCAGAGCCAGTTACACAGATGAAATGCCTCATGCTTTTATCAGGGATGCTCTGCTCACGTGTCTCATTTCAGTGCTGTGTCTGGATTAATGCCTAACACAGCCCTTGTTCTTGAACTAAGTGTGAGGCAACAGATTTGCATAAAAACTGAATCACAAAACTTCAGGTAATAAAAAAGCCTGAACAGGAGGAGGAATTTCGTTCCTACTCCAATCCTTAGAGAAGTAAGCTCGCTCTGGCAATAACTAACTCCAACCAGAAAAAGCCTGCGCGGCTCTAGCGGACACAGCCGAAGATAAAAACCCCTATGAACTGGTTTAGGCACCCTGGAGCTATGTGCTTTAATTATACAAGTTTCCATGAGATGCATATAAAACAAGAAAAGGTTCTTAGTAGGACAAAGCTCAAATCAAGATCAGACTCTGCGCCAGACATCTAGGACAAGGCAAATGAGTAATTAACTCACTTTGGCATGGGGCAATAGCGGACGGACTGTCCTATCTAGGGGCACGTGGGTACTTGTTGACAGGAGAGGTGATCTCCAGACTGCAGGAATGTGGCTCAGGGAGTTCCAATTCCCCTTCTTGTTCAGTCACTTGCCTTTGACAGCCTAGAAGTCTTTTTCAACTTGAATTAGTGAGCAACACTAAATGAGGTGTGATTCAGTCTACTGCATCACCTCGATTTCTGTGTTTATTCTTGTAACATTTCTGTGAACAGCAGGTGGGTTGTTAAGGAAGCTCCAAGCTGAGATTGAACACTAACCCTCTTCACCAATGTTTTTTTCAATATTTAGACTTCAAAGGTAACAGGCAAACCTAAGCTTACTGTGATATCTCCTCAGCCTGTGAGCACAGGTCCCCTTCATAAGCCTGAAGTCTTTGTTTCAATGCCATTTGAAGTGACTTCAACACTAAACCCTTCACTATTACAATCCTCTCTCTCTCACCCCACCAAGTCCTGTCTCTTTAGCCCTAATGCTATTAGGATTATTCCTAATCGTTTTATAAACCTTAAATAAGAAAGTGCTGTCCCAGCTGCCCTGACCTTTGAGGTGTGCCCAGTATTCTTAACCTGTAATTTATCATATGACTGTTGTAAAGTTCAGATCTGACCCCACATTCAACTTGTAGGCTAAAGATAGCCCAGCATCCCTCGACTGTCAGCAGATCGGCCTTGAACAGCTGAATCAGGGCTTCCCTCTGGTTGGCAACCCCCAGCCAGCTGACAGGCACCAACAGTTCGGAGGCACTGTAAGGGAGATGTGACTGTGCAACTGCTCCCATTCCCTCAGCACCCCCCAACAACGGCAGAGATGTCCCGGATGCGAGCAGAGACCACAGGTGATAAAAACTGCCTTGCTGTGCCAGCCTTCCTCCTCCACCACCACACAGCAAAAATGCTGCGAGCCTGTCCAACAGCACCCTGCACCACGTGGGAAGGGCGAGGAGCTCCCAGCAGCTTCTCCAGAGATACGAACAAGTACCTGGGCAGCTCTTTGCCTTTAGCAAACGTGATATCTCCAGAGACAGAACTGCTCGTTAACAGCTGCGCTGGCTGCAGGTGTTTCTCTGGTCACCTGCAGCATGCTTTGGGACCCCCCCACCATCTTAAACCCTGCTACATCCCCCTTTGTGCATCTGCACAAAGGTGTAAAAAGCCCACCCAGCTTTGCTGTTCAACAACCAGCCGCCTGAGCTCTCGTCCAGTAGCAGCAAGCTGTATCACAGCTCTTGCTTTCAGAGTCGGACGCGATTTAGTGCATCTCCCTCCTGCAGGGAAGGGAAAGGCTCCTGCACAACCTCCCCCAGCTCAGCCCACCCACCGCTGCCCAGCCGCTCTCCGGCTCATGGCACAAACCTGCTCACCTTCACCGGGGCGAGACCTGCCTCGATGTGAGCTGACATTAGATTACACACCTCCCGGCGGAAGGGGGACAGGCAGACACAAGTAAGAAGGAAAAGGAAGAGGATGTGAAACGTCATAGCTGAGCAGACCAGTTAAATCGGAGAAATCCACAGTTTGGAAAACCCCCTTTTCTATTTAATTTGAATCCACTGGTTTAAACAGTCTTAGAGGCACTGAGATCTCATCAAATTGAAGCCAAAAGAATCAAAAAGATAAAAGTCTGCTCCAAGCTGCTCCGGCAATCCCTGCCAGGGGGCAAGAGAAACGTGTCCATGCTGTACCCAGCTACTACCCAGAGCCATCGGGAACTTCTCCCCATCCCACCAGCCACTCAGGGTGTTGGAGACCCCCCATCTGTAGCCTGCTCCCTCCCTTCCCCCCTTGGGGCAATACCTGCTTCCACTGGCGGTAGGTGGAGAACTCCTGGGAAGGAATGAAGAGGCTGAGTCGGAAGATAGATTTGAGCCCAGCCGGCAGCCCCTTCGACTCAAAGTATTCAAACTCCGTCTGCGACTCCCCGAACACCGGCACATACAGACAGAGGCAGAGCATCGTTCTGAGCCAGACACTCAGCTGCCCTGCTCAGACTGACCGGGAAGGGAAGTCAAACTGAACGATTCCTCTGAGCTGATTTCAGTGCGTAGTGGAGAGGAAATGCCAGCAAGCCTCATGACACATGCCTATGAGCAAAGCCGGCGCGGGTGGGATTGGCTGTTCAAGCCCTGCCCTTCTACTTAAAAGGGAAGCCAGGCTGTACAGTCCCTCCCCGCTGCCAGCAAGACAGCGGATCTGGATCAGGCATGTGAGCTGCCTCCCATTGCTCAACACCAGGCTCCCATTAAGCCCAGAGATCTCACATCACTCCCACCCACAGGTTAACTCTTACTGAACATCTCTTTTAGCCCAAAAGGTTTCAGCCAACACCCAATCCTCACTTGCTCTTCCTTACATCCAGTGGGTCCTTTACACACACAGTAGGGACCAGTCTTGATCATAACCTGTCCCACCATACAGCACAGGAGGACTATCACTATCTGCCTCTTTGCAAAATTCTTCCTCTATAATAACAGCAAGAGCAGGATACCCAGCTTAAGCAAAAGCCTCGAAATTCCACTTTCATAAAGGTTACTTTGCTATGCCAGAGCTGATTTGCTTCAGCTGGAAGTTCTCCCACAAACACCTGTGCCAGCCCCGGTACCCCACTGTCTCCCCTGCAGCACTCCCGAGTCACCAACACACGCAGCAATAAAGCCTGTGGAGAGGTTTGCCTTTGTGCTGGATGCCCAGAAAACCACCAAAATCAAGGGCAGGCTTCAAAACAGACCCTGCTGCTTCACAGCCTCCTAGCTAAGCATCCACACAGCAATTACAGCAGCTTCCTAGTTTTTCCTCCTCTCCCAATGACAATTAAACACTGCAGTCGGATATGTGCTATAATGAGAAGTAGCCCGGGCAGAACAACATTTTCCAGTTTCTACCATTCACAATTTAACCTCTTTGTAAGCGAGTTCCGGAGCTTTCATCAGGAACAAGCCAGGCTGAAGGGGGAATGTGGCACACGCACCATTTAATGAGGATATAATTACAGGCTTCAGAGCGTTTAGTGGAGCCTGACGTATGGGATAACACCTGGTACAGTGAGAGTACCAAAGAAGTGCAGCAGGTAACAATACTGCTCAGTAAACAATTACTGATTGCTAACATTAAAGTTATAGTCTTGATAATTATCAAAGCGAAGCTATCACACAAGGAAGACGCAAAACCCAAAACACTATAATCCTGCCAGCACTTGAAGTCTCACCGCATGTTTGCTAAGCTGGCTAGAGCCAGTCCAGCTAACAGCTCTCCCCATCACTGCGGACGCAGCAACATTTCCTTGTGTTTGCTCTGTTTCAACAGCTGCCTGGCCAGTGCAAAGTCCAGGAAGCACTCCCCTCCTCCCATCCTAATGCACAAGGGGCCTTTACATATTCACCGTGGTATTTTGTTCTTTAGATTTCAAGAAAAGCCGAGGTCTGTAATAAGCTGTTTGTGGAGCTGCATGTCAATCACACAAATGGGTAATACTTAATTTGGGGCTTTACTTCAAGGATTTCTTTTTTTAAAAAAAAAGCTTCATAGCTCACGACTCACAGCAATTCAGTACCCTTGAGAACCGTGACCTACAACAGTTTCCTACGCCCCCCTGCTGTCACCTCACCCACCATGGCTCCACTGCCACGTTACCTAACCAGGCTTAACCTACTCAACCTACTCCTTGCTGACGTCTCTCCGCACGAAAACTGGATCGTCTCAGGGGCTCCAGATCCTCTTAAAGATCAGCCGCAGCAGCTCACGACATGCATGCCAACAGCACACCCCAGCCTTCCTCCCAAGAGGAGTATCACCGCAAGAGCAGCCCTACGCGGTGAGCAGCTCCCCCCGGCCCAGCTCCTGGCAGTACCTGAACAAACGTAACTCAGCTTTGCCCCACCAACCCTTCAGATCCTCTATAGTCCTTCCCACGAGTCACCAGGCATCACTACTAGAGCTGCTGGGCCGCTCAGTTGCTATGCCAACATGATGCAGATTTTCCTAATAAACTCTGTCTAGAGTTGGCAGCTAGAGACAAAAGGCAAAATCTGCACATTTTAGGGAAAAAAGCCCTACCACCTACGTCAGAGGAAAGGAGAAAGGTAATGAGGTTAAGAAAGCTGATTTTAAGCAGGGTATTAATTACAGGACAGCATGCTAAGAAGGAGAGACAGATTAGGAATGAAGTTTATACCAGCAATTCCGGTTATAATGACAAAGGGAACTTGAACAGGCATTAACAAGTATTTAGATTTCACCTAAAAGAATCCTGGAAGTCCTCAAAAGCAAGACAGCTCTCCAGAGCGGCAGGGACCAGTGCTGCTTGAACACAACTCATGAGGGGTAACCGTCCAAGGCTCAGCACACACGGGCTGTCCCGCTCCCCCAACCCCAGGCAGCAGCAAACCCACCCCGGGGCTTCAGGCTGAGCTGCGGACAGGACATCCCCCATCAACACTGCCTGTTCGTGATCAAACCACCGGCAGGGCACAGAGCCCCAAATACTGTCAGTGCCTTCAAGTCACTCCTCCCTCGTACTTCTTCCATCTGCCAGTTCTGGCCATGAAGCCAGAGCTGCACCTACTCATTTCTGGCCGACGTGAGCCAGCCCAGCTAACACCCTCCCATGCTAAAGGCAGCACTGGCTGGTCCCTCTTCCCTCTACAGAAGGCGCGTTTTTCTGGCCATCACGGGAGCTGCAAACTCATTGTCCATTTATAGGATTTAAATGCTGCACGAGTTACCAGTTTCAACCCCCTGCCATTCCAACGCTAACCTTTCCAAGTCATTTGTACTCTTCCAGGCATCTGCTCCATCACCAGTTTACTACATCAGCTCCAGAAGGTACCTCCCAAAGGATGGGAGGATGCAGCCATACAAGGAGCAGGAAAGTATGCTGTTTAATTTTTAATTTACTTTGCTAAAAAAAAAGTCTCTAAAAATATCAAGTGCCAGTAAGCGTCACAGTCACATAACATCCTCCTGCACAGGCAAAACAGCTTTCTGGGCGAGTACACCACGGGCCAGAGAGAGAACTGCTACTGCTCCGAGCTTTCACTAGGTCCTGCTGACTTGGAATTTTTTAATTTTTGAAAGCTAGCTTATAATTAATTGTACAGTACAGAAAGTCCTCACAAAGCACAAAGTGTAAAGTGTATGAAGGAGGGGAGTTAATCATTTAAGAGACCCCAGCAGAGTAAAGAGCTGCAGCCAGCCAAGGCTGTGCAAGGGGAAGGCAGACACACGACGTGGCATTTCACATAAAGGTGACCAGGAAAGATGACCTGTTCCACCGACAACACACAGATCCAAAGTTACAAGTCCAGATGGTGACATCAGGGGCAGATCATACGTCTCTCCTGTGTACACACATCCGGGGGCCAACACATCACCTTTGCAATCAGTATTTTCTTCCGCATTTGCAGAAACGGCCCCGTGTTGAAATTGTTACCTTGAAGCAAGGATCTGAGCAGAAAACACGGCAACTACAATGTGGAGACTGAAGAGCCAGGGCTAGGAAACACCTCAGGTCAAATTTATCGATACGTGCAAATTCCTTACAGTAACCCACATGATATTTTGTGTGGTTTTAGCAGATATGTAGTTACAGACATTTTTACACCACCAAGCAGCATCCGAGTAGAGACTTCTCCCAAGGTCATAGACATTCGGTGGCAGAAAACAAAAGCCATGTGTCCCCCACATTGTCTTTAAACACCAAATAATACTGGTTGCTCACAGTGGTTTATGATCTACCCCTAGGGCTGTACAAGACTTTTTGCAACACTACTCCTTCAGCCGGGTAATTAGAACACAGATATCTGATCAAGCACAAACAAGTCATTGCAGCTTACCAAGTTACTGTCCACCAGCCGAGCCGCGGTGGCTGGAAGCAGTATTAGCCAGCCTGAACTGCAAGGGAAAACGCATCTGCATAATCCTCAACAGAGGAGCTTTACGCTGTGTTTTACTTTACAATCAGGGCAGGCTAAAATTACACAGTCACAACCTCCTAGCAGATGGGCAGTTACTTCCTAAGCTACAATAACTCAATTTACCACATCGTTATCCTCTCGGTATTTCTCCATCAGCCAGTTTTAGGGTTCCTATGCAGCAAAACTTCCCAGGGTCACACAGGAAAGACGAGATGGGTATCAGCTCTCAGAGAAAGCTTCATTTGCAGGTGTGAACAGATGGACTCTCCCTGACTGAAGGACCATTGTGCCCTGAAAGACACCGGAGATTTTCAGCCCTACGCTTTCAAGGTTTTCATCGCAAACTCCTTCAGGTCTGAGCCTCTGTCCTTCTCCAACCTCTGTGCACAGAAGTCCTCCTCTTCTCAGAATGCACACACTCCTCTTATTGAAGAGGACGCACAGTGCTAACTGCAAACGATACGGATGAAGGCGAAAGTCCCTGCAGATTTTTCAGCCTGATTCAAGCAGGGAGCGGCTTCTGCTGCCCAGAATGCAAAACGCCACCCTGCCTGTTTCCATTCAAAACGGCAGCAGAAAGGATATTCATCCCCTCTACAACTTGAATTTGTTCTTCCCCCATTTTAGAGAGAAAGCTTACAGCAACAACCCTGCCTGATTCCCTGTCACATAAGCCAGATCCTGCCAGTCCCGCACTCCCACCCCTGCTGCAGCCCTTCACTATCCCAAGCTCCCACCACTCACAGGGGCTATGCCCAACTCCTTCTCCCCTAATCCCAGGGCACACACCCTTGTAGTAAACCACATGTAGTCAGAGCCGACTGCCCCATCCTCAGGAGAGATGGACAGCGTTCCCTCCCATCAAAAATAAACTCGAATTGCAGTCAGCCAGCACTGTGCTACAAGCCCAAGCACTAAACTAAGCAGCTTTTGTTCGCCTCCTCCTCCCAGACAAAGCCTCACCATCTATTCTCCGCCAATTGTGCGCACCACCACCTCCCAGCTCTCCCACCCTGCGGGAAGTTCCCATCCTCAGGCAGATTTTAGTCTCTCCCTTATGCCACCCCGCTCCCCAGGGACAGGCTTTCCTCTCTTCCGGGCTTTGCCATTCAAATAATACAGCCAGTTACTCATTTGCTCAAAACATGCCGTTTTTCCTGAGGCTTGCCAAAATTACCAGAGACTGCATCCGGAACGTTTTAGGATCTATTTGATCCTTTGCCGGTCTCCGGTGCAGGGGTGGGACTTGCCACTAATCTGCTTTATCATTCCCTGCCCTCTCAGTCATGCTGCTTACAAGTTGCCCAGGAACCTTCGAGACCCCCGTATTCCCCCTTCCCCCTAAAAAGCAATTTTTCCCCCTCCTCTGAACATCATATCTGAAAAGTCAGATTACCTCTCTCCAAATCATTCCCCTAGTCCCCCCACATTTCCCTTCTAGCAAGCACACATACTGGACCCTGCTCCCTTGTCCTGTTCCTCTCCCCCCTCCCCAAATATACACTCTCCCCCCCCCGCTACTCACACACTCCACCTGCAACACCCCTACTCCCAGCAGACCCCCCACTCGCTCTCGTGTGCTCCAGCCCCTCCTCAGGCCCCTGGATATCCCGTTACCTTTGGAAAATGCTCTGCAGGTCCAACCACCAGTAGGATAGTTGGTCTCCTTTCAGTGGGATCAGTCCCTCTGTCCTGTGGCTTCCCCAACATCTTTGGCCCTTTCTCCCCGGGGCCTGGAAGTGGGGTGGTGTTTCTGGCCTCATCCTCTTTTCCATCTGCAGGACCTTGGCATACGGCCCTGGGAAGGAAGCTAGACAGAAAATGCCAAAGGGTCTGCAGCATTGCTGCTCCAGCGAGCGTCCCAGGCAGGGAAACCCTGCGCACTCAGGAGCTGCCCGCTGCCAAGGATGATGTGACTGCACTACCAAGCACCCCCAAGACGGGAATCGGCACGGCAGCCAGCGGGAGGGTCAACCCAGCCACTCCACGGGCTCAGATTCTTTACGAGACCGCTCCTGC